GTTCTGATCATAGCGAGTGGAATGCATCCATGTTTCGTTAGGAGCGGGAAGGCAGAAAGAAATCAGTCGGTCGGAGCGCGGTGCCTAACATCAGAATTGCAATCTCTCCCAGTGCGCTCACTGCGCTTACGCACACACCTGACATTTGATCGCGATGAACCGCGATATGCTGATCGTACGTGGCGGGCAGCGAATTTTTTTTCCTACACGTTATATCCATTGGGTTTCTCTGATTGGCTGCTTTGATTTGCTTTGACTCAACATACCTTCAAAACAAGAGAACAAACGCCATATGTAAAAATTGGTTTTAGTTTATGATCGGTAGATAAGTAAGTTTTATGATGTATTTTCTATGAAAAGCACACATTTTACTATAATTACAATCCGTTGTGTAAATGTGTTATTTTCATCTTAATCTTAAGTTATTAGAGGGTCTGGGCTCTCGTAATACTACATACGTACGTATACGTACTCGTACTATAGAGTACCCCTTCGCTCTGTCGCAGGCAGGAAGAAGGAGCCAAGGGCTATAGACTAGTACTAGAGCTATACGTACTCGTTGACGCTAGACTGAGCAAAAAGTAAACAAACCTTTGTTATTAAACGACACGTATGTGTTAGTACTTGTTTACATTTGAAAATACATGTACACAACGAATTGCACTTATAGTGATATTATATTTTATCGTAAATGTGTAAAATGTGTGTTTTAGGTTTTTCAAAAAAATACACCAGAAAACGTTTTCTCAGTCTAGCGTCAACGAGTACGAGTATGTTTAGCTCTAGTACTATAGCCCTTCGCTCCTTCCTCCTGCGACGGAGCGAAGGGCTATACTATAGAACGAGTACGTATACGTATACGTCGTATGCAGTAAGTGTTACGAGAGCCCAGACCCTCTCATAACTTAACGTTAACGATGAAAATAACACATTTACACAAATAATTGTAATTATAGTGATATTATATTTTATATTAATGAGTAAAATGTGTGTTTTTCCTAGAAAATACATCAGAAAACTTACTTATCTACGGATCATAAACCATAATAAATATTTACAAATATCGTTTGTTCCCTTGTTTTGAATGTTTGTTGAGTCAAAGCAAATTAAAGCAGCCAATCAGAGGAGCCCAAAACTCTGCAATGGATATAACGTGTAGGAAAAAAAATTCGCTGGCGGGCAGTGGCACCCGCCGCCCCGGATCAATCAGATAGTACAGATATCGCGTCAACTCAATTCAAATCATCAACGATTATCATGTAACCATCTGGAGTCGTGTCAGACGAGCCGGGAGGCGGCAGCGGTGGGCGTAGCGGCGTTCGTTTGTGTGTGCGCGTATACGTAGCCTGCGTCACGCATGACTGCGAGATGCTACCATTGCTCACCGCACGATCCCAGATCTGCGATAATCGTTCGCTAATAGTGCAAGTGGCTCGTTAATGTCAGCCCCAGCCCGCCCGTGTTGTTTAGCTGTCAATGCTTAACGCACGTAAGTCGGCATTAGCCTTCACAAAGTCGAGCATCTTTAAAAATTACACGCATCACGTGACATCTGTCGGCAGCGGATACTGTCCGGAGAGATGAAAGTACCGGTCGGTGGCGATCGCTTCGATACGGTTGCTGTGGCAACGGACTCATTGTTGCTTAGCTAAGCCGGCAATGTTGCATTAGCATATTCGAAGCAAAAGATATTCTATCCAGCATTTCTGAACGAATATAATATCAGGAGTGAATAATAATAGACTATTATTAGACTCTATTATAGACTATTAATAGAGAGGAGCAGAGAACAAGAGCTACAACATTAGAGTAGTCGATGCTATACTAGACTCATTTGTGCCTTCTAACACCATCCTTGATCACGTACGTTATTACATAAATGCAACACGTATTCATGCGAGTAAATTATTACTCCACAATGGGATTTAAAAAAACAGAAACCGTATTCATCCGTATTTCATTCGAACGGTTATACGGAACACACAGAGCAATAGACACAAAACGTTGATAGGTCATTCGGAGGAGATATCGCAGCAATGTCGATTACACACACATAACCCCACTCAAATTCTAGAGTAAATAGACATCGGTAGACTTCTTACGGTAATTAAACAATATCAAGCGTTGTTTCATTAGGGACAAACACGAGAGAGGGCGACGGGCCGATAGATACTGACTGATAGCTCACAATGCCATCAAATGAACAATGACATCGGTTGCGTGCCTGCGTTCCGAGGACTGCAACAATGAAAGCATCGTTAACGGTATAGTAGCATTCCAGAACGACTGGTTGTCATGATAATCTATCTAGTAACTGTCAAGGCAGTGTTACGGCGCTAGGCGAGCAATATGACACCACGGATATATACAAGAGAAATTATTAGCCCGCGGCAAAAACTACTTACCAAAGTAGTTTAGCTGTCATCAGCCATAACTCTAATTTCCTTATGAATAAATAAGAATATATAGAAATATATTCGTATTGGCAGGCTCGTTTTCCAGAACGGCGCATGATTTCTGAGACGGCCTTGCACCGCGCGTTGGCCCAAGGACAAATGTAACCGTTTAATGCTTAAACCCTAAAACAGTGACTAGTTCAAAGCGGACAGTGAATCGTATATATGGTCGGTCGATTCACAGCATCGTCAGTCAATTCTCAGCCTCTCAGAGTTCAGGATGAAGCTTTTAATCGCTCTCGTAGCTCTAGCGTATATGGGTAAGTCAATACATCAAGGGAATTTGTTAATGATATATCTGTGAAACTTTATAAGTAACAATTTCATATTATATTTTGGCTATATTTGATAACGCGCTGTTTTACGTTTACAATTGTATAGTAACTTTAAAGTTACATTTACCGACGATACCAGTACATGTAAATGCGTTTGCAAATTAGCCACGTTTACACTTTAGAAGCGTTTACACATTGGTTTGGCAGATGGAGTATATATATATATATATATATATATATATATATATATATATATATATATATATTATACTCCATTCAGTGGATGAATAATACTGGCGCGTGTTTACAGGATGGGCCTCGCCAGTAGAGAAGCGCCTCGGTGTGCCTCTACAAGCTGAAGACGACTGTAATCCATACATTGGAGCTCTCAACTTCTCGGCTGATGCAACTGATTGCCAGGTATCGCAGCTTCTCTACGTGGTCCTACATTTCTCCTTCCGTTTCTATATTCACTGGCGTAGACATCCATACACGCGGAAGATGCGAAAAAATATAACACGGTACATAGAGCGAGGAGAACATTAATGTACAGCGATAATTAATGTCGAAAATGTTCATTGTAGGTATTCTACATTTGCGACCACGGATGGCCTAAGATCCGTCGTTGTCCAGCAGACACTATATGGATGCCGGCTGTTAGCAAGTGTATAGACAAATACGAGGCAGCGAACGAAGCTTGTAATTATGAGGCTCCAGTAGCACCTACCATCCCCCCAGAAGACATTTATCCTGGTAAGTGTGCATATATTTGATGGCAACGCACTCATAATGTATTGCGCGTTTTATAATTATGAGAAACGCAAAAACGTCATATTAATACGATATTTTCTTAACAATAATCACTATACGTCATATAGCTGCGTGCCTGGACCCAAGAAGCAAGTGTAATGGAATCCATGAATGCAACGATGGTTCTGATGAGGAAGGGTGTGCGCCGGCTTGTGATGACAACGCATGCAGACTGCCAAACTGTAAGTGCAGTAACGCTGAGATCCCTGGCGGACTGAATATCCGCGAGATCCCACAGATGGTGCTGATTGGCTGGGACGAGGCTCTAAGAGTAGAGGACTACAACCATCTCATCCAACAGGTACATATTTATATAATTATTTTGCAATTTACAATAAGTCACGCTCTGTTGCTATTGATCTCTTGGTGTTAGACCTTCGCGAACGTTTTGACTACATTGTAGCATTGAATACCCCTAACAAAACGAACAAGCAAATATAACGGAATAGTATAGAGCTGCGAAGCACGAACAATGTTGATTGCGAGCAATAATAATACTCATTATCTCATACAATCGTCACAGATATTGAAAAAAGTGACTCGACAACGACAAAGAGAGCCTAGAAAGAATCCCAATGGTTGTCCAGCCGTTGCAACTTTCTTTACCAGCCACCAGTTCACTGACTACGCTGCTGTACAGAGTCTGTATTCTGAGGGCAACGAGTTTGCTGCTCATTCTATCACGTAAGTATAACCTCCGTTTCTGAACGCCTACGCTATCAATGAGATATTGTAATGATGTAATATAACTTGCGCTCTAATAAGGCACTAATATGACCGCAATCACCTTACAGAAAGAGGACACCGGCTGCATTCTGGGCAGAAGCTTCTGATGAGGAACTCGCTGCTGAGTATTCGGGCCAGCTTGTGCAGTTCAACAACCTGGCTGGTATCCCCCCGAATGACATCCACGGTGTTAGAGCTGCTTACCTCCAGACGAAGGGCACTGATTACATTAAGCTGATGCAGGAAGAAGGATTTACCTACGACTCTTCCTTCCCCACTGACAAGATGGACCCTCCCTATTGGCCGTACACATTTGACTATCAGTCGAGCGCTGGCTGCGCCATCCCACCGTGTGTAACTGAGTCCGTACCCGGTATTTGGGAAATTCCGCTTGTGGACTGGCAGGACACCAACGACACTCTGTGCGCAAACGTAGACAGCTGCTATTTCCCTGTTGATAGGGTAGAAGCTCTTGAGCTACTAAGGAGCAACTTCCGCCGCCACTACAACACCAATAAGGCTCCATTCACTCTCAATCTGCGCGCAAGGTGAGTTTATAGCGCAGAAATTGCCATTACGGGGAACCTATTATCACTTAACAGGAATGACATTTGTTGACTGCACGATGTTTACGTATTGTAGACGGCCCACACAAAGTTTCAGTTCACGTTGGAACGCTATGAATTTCTCACAGTGAATGATCGTACCTTATCTATCGGCTGTTCTTTAACAGGTGGTTTCTGAATGATGGCTATCACAACTTGGAGGCCCTGCAAGAGTTCCTGGACGAAATTCAGGAGAACAACGATGTCTACCTAGTCACCTACAGTCAGGCGCTTGCATGGATCCAGAACCCGGTCAAACTCTCCAACATCGGTAGATCCGATGTGTTCGCCTGTAACTACGCCGACCGCACCCCACTCTGCGAGCACCCCAACCTTTGTGGGTACCATAACATCACCCACGAACCCAACGACGAGGAGAATCAAGGCGACAGGTTCTTCCAGACCTGTGCCGACTGTCCGGCTGCTTATCCGTGGGTGGACAACCCAGCAGGCACAGCTTAGATCATCGCCCACCATACAGCTGATGACATGGAGCGTCCCCACATAAGATTTAAGGATATATTCTTATACATATATTGTGAAACTTGCATATCTTCTGGAGCGTATTTAAAATAGGAAATTAATATATTAATCTGCCTAATGTCTGGTTACTATTTAATACTTCTTCAATACTCGCGATTGAGTCTCGACTGCTGTCCGCATAGGCGCAATTGGAATGTTTATTTGCAACGCATGCATTTACTTGTATATATCAGCAAAGTTCAGATTATCTGTACAGTAGTGTCTAAATTAGAAAAGCTTTGCCTGCAGTATATAGCACGAGAACATGAGCAAATTATAACCAGTTTTGCTAACCCATTACTTATATAAAGTCTATGATGCCGATGCTTTAGCAAGTTTGAAAATAGACTGCAGTAACGTAGTAAACGTCCAACAAGTTGCTGCCCATATGCTGACAAGTTCTATTATATGTGTTGATACTTTTGCTGTAAATAATATGTATTCATTTACTATCTGCATGCAAATGAAGACGTCAAAATAAAAGTCTTCCCCTTGAAATATGGTGTTCGCTGATATTAACTTCAGACTATGCTGAGCAGCAGACGCAATACCTTCCATTGCTACTATAGTAATATTGTAACGTGCAAGAGCTCCAATTCAATACAAGTCACAAACACTGCCTTAAAATACAAAGTGATTTGAGATTAATGACAAAACAAAAATGTGTCGAATTTAGACATTCCCAGTTAACAAACTCCCAGCATCTATGAACATCCGATTTAACACCACATGCCGAGCATGCGACGCGGCATTTCGATGTCATATAATAAAACGCAAGAGCGCGGTGCATAAGCGATTGAAAATAGCATGATTCAACATTGCGTATTGTTTATTTAGTGAAAGCGCGATTCATATAAAGAAATTTCACAGGTACAGTAAGCCATAGGCAACCCAAACTCGTATAGCACTGACCATACGCTGCTATTTCTGATACGAATTGAACCCCTTCCATGGTCGTGTAGCGCCATATCAAGTAATATTTACAGTGTAGGTTTTCCTTACTTTCATACAGTATTTAAAAAATAAACAACGGATAGACCTATGGAATAATATTTCAAATGCACATACTATATTACACTGTGTGGCATGTAAGGATTTTGATATGCGTTTGTTTCGCGTAGCGCTTATGCCTATATTTTTGTAGAACGCCACTAAAAGACCATGGATCAGGTATAATTCTTTCTTTCTCTATTCCATTTACCGATGTTGACGATGTTGATGAAGAATTACGCAATATATATATATATATATATATATATATATATTATATATATCAGGAGCGTATAATGACAACGTTATTTGTTATTATAATATAATAATATAATTAATATATATTATTATATATATTTATATTAAATTATATTATATTATTAATTAAATTATATTTAAATTATATATTATATATATATAATATTATTATATAATGACAGCGTATTGTCATTATACGCTCGCTCGATATTATATATATATATATATATATATATATATATATATGAATTTAATTACAATGAGCGATGAACTTTCTTCATCCTATGAAAACGTACATAATAGTTTGTTCGGCTAATCTTTAACCCAAACTGACTCAACGCTTTTTACATCGTTATATAGGTACTAGCGAATAATTCCACCTGTCCGGTATCCCGTGTCCCGCTTTCCGTGTCCACTACCAATACCTAGCTCACGTTTGACGAATACCTGCCGCATATTATCACACCAACTATCGTTACGTAATAATATCAACACACATAAATTTTTTGTAACGAATGATCGTGATGAAGGCGCTCTCTTTGGCTGACCGATTGCATCGCTTTTATCGGCTAATAGTAACTCATTAAAAACTGTAGTGACTCATTTAACTTTTAGTCTAAACTCGTGTTGATATTGCCCACCACGGTGGGAACTCGAATAGATACGCTGGTGCCAAAATAAAAAAGAACGTGGAATGAGTTTACGAGCAAATGTGTGCGAAAGTAAAATTAATGCTTTCACATGGGAAAAAATATTATCGAAATATGAAGTAAAATTTAGATTCTATGCGATAACAAATATTGTAGGTTCCCATGCAGTTATAATCCCTGACGCTAAATAAGCCGAGGGACTGAATGAATACACATAAAGGGCTCGTCTACGTACGTTGCTTCGTCACAAGCATTTGGGAAATAATTGTAAGGCACGTAGGATATTTGTAGCAGATGTCAAGTGGCGCCACCGATCGGCATCATTATAGGCTTTATCCTGTGAGTACCGCTATAGAACAGGTACATGCATACAAACGACACTTTCAGTGTTTACCAATGAGTGGTAGTTATATCGTTAAAAACAAACTTTGTAGAAGAAACACCTGTCTATGAAAGACATTTCTGTCGTTTTCCTTGAAGTGAGCATAGGGCTAAATATATTATAGAACGTTGTGCTCTACGCTTAAATTGAATATGCCTGATACACGAGACAAACATCATGCAACTTCTCATATATGTCATAACGTGTCTAACTTAATATGGATAAACATGACACATCGATGATATTCGGTGTCATATGAAAGTATTTATAATAGAACCGTGCGAAACAACTCATGGTATTATTGCGGCATATGTTATTATATATATATTATACTATATATATATATATCATAGGTTGATACATTATATAATTATATTATATTATATAATATCATAATTCTATATATATTATATATAATATATATATATAATATATATATAGTGTTGTGTGTGTGTGTGTGTGTGATGTGTGTCGTGTGTTGTGTGTGTGTGTGTGTGTGTGTGTTGTGTGTTGGTGTGTGCGGTGGTGCGTGAGGCGTGTGTGTATGTATGTATCGTATATTCATATTTCTCTCGTATACAACAACCTAGTTCTAGTGTAGAAGGGGATGCTCTGGATATTATTGATTAACATATGCATACAGATGTCTACCGTTCACGTGCGTTCATGTAGTTTTTAGTTAGTTGGCTTACACGCTTTAACCTAATCATCTCACAGCAAAAATCACTCTGCTCTAATCCTCACACGGTTGTTAGGTGAATTATAGATCTTACTTATATTATATATTATAATAATATTATATAGTATATATATATATATATTATAATCCATCATCGTTTTACATTCACAATCACCAACAAACCACGAATAAACCCTTTCGCTAACTGGGTGGCCTTCCTCACGTCTGTCTTATCTAGAGAAACAACCCCCTACGAACAGAGTAACAGTGTGTGCACTAATGGCTTTCACAATTACAAAGATGATCTCGATGATACTGCCCGATAGATTATAGCTCCACTTAGATGATGACCAGGTAATCATACCGACAGATATAGCATTCCAGAGCAGCCTGCCGCGAGGACAATGTACCTGCTGATGCGTCAATTAAACAATGCAGGCAACGCGGAAGACATGAACCGATGTGAAAGTAACGCCCCAGGCGCTGAGTACAATCAATATGATTACAGACTAGCTGTCTTTGCAGTTACCCGATTTTGAAAAATCAACGAGCAATGAGAGAATGACGCAGACGCAAAACACCAAGTAGTAGAATATGGGTAAATTTTAACATCAACTATTGCTGGCAGATAAATTTGGGCGAATGACAGACGCTCTCGTTTTCATCTTTACACATCGCTGGTCTGAAGGTCATGTCGGATAACGGAGAGCGAATCTAGATGATTCCAAACCAAAATTAATTATAACTGATTCAATACGCCAGCGTGGTCTACCTCGCTACGGTGGTTATAATTCCGCTTGTGAACTGGCTGAACACCAACGACACTCTGTGCGCACGTACGATCAGCTGCTATTTCCCGTTGATATAGTAGGATAGAGGCTATTGAGCTATAGGAGAAATTCCGCGCGCATACACACCAATAAGGCTGCCGATTCCTCTCAATCTGCGCGCAGGTTGTTTATAGCGTCAGGATATTGCCATTATGGGAAGCTTATTATCACTAACAGGAATGATTTGTTGGAAGCTGCACGATGGTTTAGTTATTGTTATGACGGCCTCACAAAGTTTTCAGTTACGTGGACGCTATGAATTTTCACAGTGAATGATCGTACTTATCTATCGACTGTTCTTTAACAGGTGTTTTGAATGGGGTATCAATATTGGAGGCTCTGCAGAGTTTCTGGACGAAATTCAGGAGAACAACGGATGTTTACTGAGTCACCTACGAGTCAGGGCTTGCAGTGGATCCGAAACCGGGTCAATCTTCAATCGTAGATCGATGTGTTCGCTGTAACGGTACGCCGACCGCACCCCACTTGCGAGACCCTCACCTGTTGTGGGTACCATAACATCACCCACGAACCCAACGACGAGGAGAATCAAGGCGACAGGTTCTTCCAGACCTGTGCCGACTGTCCGGCTGCTTACCCGTGGGTGGACATCCCAGCAGGCAAAGCCTAGATCACCGTTCACCAAACACATCGGAATACACCTATTGTACCCACATGCGCTTTACGGATATATTTTTATACCTATTTTTTTAAACTTGGTGTTCTGCTAGAAATTTTTATATAAAAAGAAGTTGATTATATTTTACTGCTCGCGCAAGCTTGTGACCAAAGCCGCCACCCCTATAGCTTCAGTGAAACCATGCATTATAGCGATGCCTGCATAGTTTTGACTCCCTTGATAAAGGGTAGCCTACATTATATAACTGGAGCATACATTATAACCAGCATTGCTCATGTATTGTTTACATAATGTCTATATGATACCAAACCTGCTTAATCATTATATTTAGCAGATATATTTAGGATACCTAAAGATTTTTAATTAGTCAAAGAGAGCAGCAGTAATTAGTTATCTCCTAGTTACTGCTCATTAATAGCCATATGTAGTGCTAATATGGTGTTGTTACTACATTTGATGTAAATAATATGTATTTATTCGCTATCAACATGCTAATGAGTACGAACGTTTTTAAATAAATGTCTTCTATTGGAAACTCAATGTCTACTTTGGGAAATGCATATCTGTTGTACATGCCAACCTACATTCCCATCACTAGATCACCTACCCAGCTAGCCCGACCAGGCTGTGCGACGGATTGTCTATATCGGTATTCTAACCCTAGCAATACCGTTTCTTGGAGCTACTACCCAGCTGACCACAATCAGCTTAGAGAAGATTTACGATAGAATATTTATGACATTTATCGACTGTCAAATCCTACAGTAAACCAGGGCTTATATGTCTATAGGATATATAGGTAGTTTGGCTCTATCGCCCTAAGCCGATCGCAGGTTGTCAAACGCTTGCTAGCGCCCATACATACAATCGTAACCCCTTATAAAGTAAAGCCGAAATCGACATAATCTCACCGTCTAGTGTAACTGTATAAGTCATAGTGTAACTGTCTGAGCAGCGGGAAAAATGTACATCATTATAAGGCGTAGTGAGTGAGGAGGATGAATGAGTGATTAAAGGGACAGTAGCCTCTAGGATTTTACTGCATACAACTGTACTTACTGCA